GCAAAGGAAAAAAAAAGACTGCGCAGGAAAAAAAAGACTGCACAGGAAAAAAAAAAGACTGCGCAGGAAAAAATGGCGTACGTCCATTCATACAAAGTTATGCCGGAGTTGTTTGTTGTACACTTGTCATTTGCTTGAATAAAGATTTATTAAAAACATATGCCAGGTCCTGTGGACGGATAGAAAAAGTAAAAAATTAAAATTGTTGAAATGTTTTGTCTTTAATCCAAAAGACTTTGTCAGTCTGAGGAGCTGCAATAAGCTGTCTAGCACCTTCTCATAGTGGATCAACCAGTTTTCATTCATTTATTCAACTTTTATTTAGACAGGTTAATCCCACTGAGCCTTGAGGACTCATTTACAAGAGAGACCTGATTTTAATAAAGAGTGGTGACAACAATGGAACAACAAAGATAACAGTAGACAATCATAAAGGATGCGTACAAATTCAGATTTTTTTTTAACAAGTGAAAATAACATGGTATTTGACAGGAAAAAAAAAAAACAGCTAGGTTGTAAGGCGAAACAGGAACATGTCTGCATTGTTCAAGATGACAGAGAAGTGGATGCTGTATGCTAAATGTACCGAACCAAAAGGACCGTCCGATTACAAACTATGCTGCCCAGTCTGGCAAATCCTGTAAGCTCTACTAGTTTATTATGCTAACCGAAAACATTGGGAGTTGTTTAAATTATTTAATAGTTTTTAAAAGACCAGCACAAAAAAAAAAAAGAACTGTCCAGATGACCTGACTGAAAATTGTTGGATTGTATACCTGGATTATTGAGCATGGACTTTTTTGGTTTTGAACCAGTTTGACATGACTGTCGACGAGGGAGAGGGCAGGCACGGGAGGAGTGGGCGTGGCAAAGAGACCATCTTAGCACCATCATAACTGGTTTGTTCCACTTTGGAGTAAGCTGTTGGGGGAAGAATCAGTTTTGTGTTTCCTTGAAGCCTTCTGGATGGAAGGTGAAACGTTTCAGCACAAAAAAAGAAACTGTCCAGATGACCTGACTGAAAATTGTTGGATGCCTGCATTGGTTTTTCCCAGGAACTTCGCAGATGTTTGTAGCCACTTTTAGAGAGGTCAAGGCCGAGAGCTTCAGATCTTTTTGCAAGATATTCCAGGAAACAGAGTAGGAGAAGGCCCTTTTGCCTAGTTCAGTCCGCACTGAGGGAACACTGCATGTAATGATGTCCTGAGAGCGCACGCTGTAGCTGCACTCACGCAGAGACAAGTAGGTGATGTATGAAGGCAGCAGACCATGATTTAAAGATGAAAATGTACCAGTGAGAGAGAGTTTACATGAAGTTAATGACCAGTTTACCAGTGAATACAGGGTGCAATGGTACAGTAGTTACAGCCAGTGATGAATCTTAGTGCACCATGATAGATAGCATCCAACATCCAACATTTATTGTTGACATTCAAATCAAAAGAGGACCATCAGCCTAACAATGGATCGTTAGCACCCTGATGGCCGCTTGTTATTCACAGGGGGCTGAGTGATACTAGCAATAACAGCATCGTAAGAGGGGGACCGTTGAACATGGAGGCCTCCACCCGTTTAATGATGGATGGTTTCTTTTCACAAAGATGGCCTCCTTTATTCCTCTCTCAAACCATCGTTCCTCTCATTTCGGTTATCATCCAACTGTCCATCCGTCCAGAGGACCTGACATAACTTTGTTAGATTTTTCTACTTGACTTATAAAGCATGCACCATCATCTTCTTCACACATCTTCTTTTCAGATTCTAGGCTATGTCATCACATATCAGAAAGTACAAAATAAACTATCAAACATATTTTTAACATTGCATGACTTCCATACAATAAAATCGGACGATTCAAGTTTAGAGTATCTGCAACACAAGTTTAAAATGTTCAAACGAAAAAAGAAAACGCCTGTTCTTTTAACCCCCAAAACAGCCTTATTTTTTGCAACGCACCTGTATGCAAGAAGCACTGCAGCGTAACTTGCACATTCCAATGAGTTTATTTGGCAAAAGTCTCTTACGTAAACAGTGAAAACAGTTTACAGTAAATTACAAACCTTGTAAGTGTTGAATATGCTCCAACTACAAAAACAAAAGTATTTGGTGGGGAAAAAAGTTTACACGTAGAAGACATAACAGCCATTATTAAAATTAAATAGACAATATGGGTTTGGCTAATTTAAAACAAATAATTTTACGGCACAGTATTTTGTCCACGGTTCAGATGAAACCCATCTCCAAATGCGATTTCTTAAAACACGAAGTGTATTTCTACGTCTGGTCTTACACGGACAAAGAGAAAGTCAAAGCATTTTCATTTTTTCCACAGCAAACCAAAGAACGTGTGATTTTCATCAACCAATAAACACTTTTATATTAAAAAAAGGACATGAAGAACTGCATGCCACTATAAAATGCTTTGAAATGCACATCGATGTATTTCACAAACACACATAGGAACAGATATATTACTTTGTCATAAAAAATGGCATTTATAGTGGTCCAGCTTGAATAGTGGACCTATACTCTACAACAAAGGCAAAATATTTAGATCTAATTAAAAAGCAGTTACAATGTGTAACCCAGCTGTGCACGACACTTCATATATTTATCTACGTTTTCCCATTAATCGTTTTCTGGTTACATTGGAGATAATGACAGTCTTGTAATATTCCACATCAACCTTTATATTTATCCTTAATATAAAAAATGATTATAAACTAGAACTAAAGTGAACAGTACACTGCAATACCCTTACATTTGTCACAGACTTATAGATGGGATGTATGCGATGAATATGACGACTCCAAGTACCATATTTTTTGGACTATAAGGCGCACCAGATTATACGGAACATCAAGTGAAACAAAACAGTCAGATAAGTCAAACTTTATTCAACTCATTCATAATAAGTACCAACATGGTTCAGTTGTAACATGTAAAATACAAAATACACATTTTTGAGTGTCGTGTAACACATAAAACCGGTTTGGGCTCAGTTAGCACAACCAGAATTAATTCATAAGAATCACCGTCGATTTTTGAGAAAATTACCGTATTTTTCAGATTATAAGGTGCACTTAAAATCCTTACATTTTCTCAACAATCCACAGTGAGCCTTATGTATTAATTCTGGTTGTGCTTACTGACCTGAAACTGGTCTTATGTGGTACACGACACTCAAAAATGTGTATTTTACGTGTTTCAACTGAACAATGTTGAGTTATTGTGAATGAGTAAAATCAAGTTTGACTTATCTGTTTTGTTTCGCTTAATGCACCGTATAATCCCGTGCGTCTTGTGTATAAAAACAGACCCGTTCATTGATATTGCGCCTTATAGTTTAAAAAATACAGTAGGTGTGGACAACCAGTATGATTATGGTTTGATATCTACAGTATGAGACTGTGATGCATACAGGAAGAATAACAGCCACTCTAACTTTTTACATCTGGTTGAAATGATGCAACAGCCTTTTATTATATCAGTGCATCAGTCCTGTGTTTTCTGACATGGATTTCACAGTAACCCCCCCCCCCCCCCCCCACACACACACACACACACACACACTACGTTATGGAAGCAGTGTGTAACCTTGTGACTGCTTATATTCAGTTACATTCATTACATGGTCTCTCTTGTAAATGAGTCCCCGTGGCTCAATGGGATTAACCTGTATAAATAACGGTTGAATGAATGAATATAAACGTATGAAATTATAAAAAACGATTGAGATGGCGTTAATGTGATCAGTCAGCTGCAGCTTTGCAGACGACTGAGGTGTAAAAAACAGAACTTGGGTTTTGTTGAGCCTCCAGTTTAAGTATGTTGACCGCCTTTTAACTGGCTACACACGTCTGTTTCATCAAAGAAGCACGAGGGTTGGCTTAACCGTGTTAACTATTATTGCACGGACAATTTTATTATTTACACCTTTTTCTTTATGTAGAAGAAGCACCAAATGGCATGTACAACGCTCATTAAATAACCTTTTTTCCTGCAGCTCTGGGCCGCAGAGCAAAAATCTTACCAGCCTTTTTAAATCAACAGATTTTTTAAAAGCCAGAATAATATTACTAATAAGAAAAACAATGTTTTTCCTGTTGAAGTGGTTCCAGTGTTAAACAAGGACTGGTGAGCAGGTTTATTCAGGAAAGATAGGGCCCAAGAGATAAAATGATTTCAGTTTGTTTTGGAGGGATCATGACCATGAACACTTTTGACTTCTGACAGAGCTCTCTGATTAAGTGCTACAAAAGTCCACAGGATGACTGATGCCAGGATCAGTAAAAGTCTTTCCTTCGTACAAACGCAGTCGACATCCAACACGGAGGTGGAGGTGAAGATGGCAGCCAGCAGATGGTGCAGATGAGAAACCATGTGGTGGATTCACTTCCCTCCGCCGTCACAACTACCAGTGATCTCCCATCACTCTTTGTTTTCATTTAATGTTCTTCCATGAGCAGCGGGTTCTAGTAAGAAAAAACATCAAAATAGGTTCATAAAATAATAAATTACTACCGAACATGAGTGAATGTAATTATTGACCAAATGAGAAGGGGTTCTCTGCAGACCAAAAGTGGGCGTTTCTGGAGGTGTTTGTAAGGTGCAAACAGATTGGCTAAATGTATTTGCTGCTCTTTGGGTAAGTTAGGTCAGCTCTTTTTTAAAACTGAAGGTTTTCTAAGAACCAGCGTTATATCTACTGTCAAACACAAGATTCTCTTTAGTCCTTGGTTGTAGCTGCACCTGACACAGGTTGGCTTGAGTGTGGTCTGGGTACAATGAAATATGAAGCATCTGAAGCGAAACCTGCTCCTATTTGTCAAAAAGTCTGGTCTCAATTAAAGATCGAGTCCTGTAACGAGATAATGACCCAAAACAAACGCTAAAAACAAAATGTTCTCTTTAGAAGTTCTTCTATGAGATCTGATCTATGAAAGGAGCTGAAACATGAAGTATGACCCTTAAAATGTGAGACAGCTGACTGGAAGTTAACCAGTAAACAGAAATACCTGCTCCAGTTGCAGAAATCTTACAGAAACTGACAAACACTCATCTGCAGTGACTGATTTAAAAGGTTGAACAAGAAAATGTGAAGTTAAAGGAAACATCCTTTGTCCCAAAGCCAGTTTAAGCATCATTAATATTTTGGTTACTTTATTTTTCTTTCTTTATGGATCGATTGCAACTATTTTCACATTTTTCAACAAACAAAATGGATTTTGTTTTTTAATGTAATGGCTAGGTTTTAAAAAACAAACATTTAGCCCTCCCCACTACCCATTTATGTTGCTCTTATTTTGAAATGTAACCGGAAGTTCTGTGTTAAGAGGCGGAAAAAGAAGTTATGGAGACGCCGCTGATGTTGAACCGGTTAACACCATAGACATAATATGTCTGTGGTTAACACAATCTGCCAATAACGCCTTGTTTTTAGACATAATATGTCTGTGGTTGGGCAGCACGGTGGCACAACTGGTAGAGCTGCTGCCTTTCAGCGAGCAGGTCCCCGGTTCAAATCCCGGTCCGGGGGCCTTTCTGGGTGGAGTTTGCATGTTCTCTCCGTGCATGCGTGGGTTTTCTCTGGGTACTCCGGTTTCCTCCCACAGATCAAAAACATGCATGTTAGGCTGATTGGTAACTTTAAATTGTCCCTAGGTGAGAGTGAATGGTTGTTTGTCTCGATGTGTCCCTGTGATGGACTTGCGACCTGTCCAGGGTGTCCCCCGCCCCTCGCACAGTGATTGCTGGACATGGGCACCGGCAACCCCCGTGACCCAAAATGGAAGAAGCAGGTAAAAGATAATGGATGGATGGATGTCTGTGGTCAACACAAACAGCTTTTTTTTTCGTTCAGCCTTTTTTTTTTTTGTACAATCAGATGTGGCCCGTCCGACGCGCCCATTTTTATATTGTCCAATCAGATGTGGCTTGTCAGACACGCCCATTTGCATATCGTCCAATCAGATGTGGCCCGCCGTATGCACCTCGTCCAATCAGATGTGGCCCCCTAGATACGCCTTCCGAATTTGTCTGCAGCGATACCTACTTGGACTAAACAGCAAAAAGGTTTTTACAACTTGGCAAGAATTTTAAGCACGGAAATCTGCTCTGCTGCATTTACACACGCTGCAAAATATTAAAGCTTTTCAAACATTTCAGGAGGATTTTCAGAGTTATTTTAAACCGGTGCCCTGTTTGCCTGCCGCTGTGGTGAGTCAGCTGGTATAAAAGAAGAAATAAAGATGCCTAAGAATCCCACCTTACTGTCAGCGGTGTTCTGAATGAAGTCGTTGTCGTGGTCTCCTCCTTCCGAGCTGCTCTTCTGGTCCTCGTCTTTCCCATCTTTATCCAGATCGTCCTCTCCAGAAGAGACCCTCGACACTTTTGAGGCTTTCTGCTGCGGGCAAACACATCACGACGCAGAAAACAAAGATTAGTGACAAAACATCGCACTTCAGGGGATAAACTCACCCGCTCTGAGGAGAAACAAATGAAATGTATAGCAGATAAGTGCTTTTGTATATTCTAATTTAAAGGACTTGTCCACAAAATAGTAATGAGGAATGTCACGTCAAAGGACCTCCCTCCCATTTTTCTTAAAGACAAACTGCTTGCTCCCTTACTATCCAGCCTTCGGTTCAGTCTTATATTGCCATCCGGTGGTTGAAAAAAAGGTACTACTGTACATGCAAAACAAATTAACAAACATTTCTCCTTAAATTTGACAATAATTACTAATTATTGTCAAATTTCAAACAATATTATCGTTTATCGCAATAATTTCCGAGACAAAATTTGTTATTGTGACAGGCCAACTAGAAACATTGATTCACTTCCTGGATGAAAGCCCCACTGCTCCTCCTGAAACCCAGGTTTGACCATCATATTTATTAAGGATGCACAATATTATCGGCATGGTATCAGTTGATATTAGCGATAAAAGTTAAATATCAGACATCGGTCATTCCATCAAAATAACTCACCGATATAAAAGTCTTCTGTTTTAAGTTAATTTTTAATTTAAGAAACTGTCAAATATTTATGTTAATGCACTACTACTTACCGGTATGCACTTGTCACTTGAGAACAGGTTGAGTTTAGATTTGTGAACATTTACAAATTTTCACAGTTCGAGTGTTGTCATTGTGTTTCAGAGAGTAAATGTCATGAATAAATTTGACCTTAAACATAATCCAAGTTGAAGTGTTACATCATTTTCAGCTCCCTTTGTGGCATCTGAAAGGCTGTCACATTGTAAAGTTTGCAGATGATACAGCGGTGGTGGGATGCATCACAAACAACAATGAGTCCAGCTACAGGCAAGAGGTGGAACACCTGGAGAGCTGGTGCAGAGAGAATAACCTTCACATCAATGTGAAGAAGACAAAGGAGATGATTGTGGACTTCAGAAGGAACAAAAACACCTACACCCCCCTGAACATAAGAGGATCTGCGGTGGAAGTGGTCTCCAGCTACAAGTACTTGGGTGTACACATGAATGACAACCTCAGCTGGAGCAACAACACCACCAGCCTGATCAAGAAAGCTCATCAGAGACTCTACTTCCTCAGACGGCTGAGGCGAGCTGGTCTGGGAAGCTCAGTCCTCACCTCCTTCTACAGGTGTGCAGTGGAGAGCATCCTGTGCTCGAGCATCAATGTGTGGCATGGAGGCTGCACAGCTGCAGAAAGAAAAGCTTTGCAGAGAGTGGTGAAGGCTGCACAGAAATCTGTTGGAATCAGTCTCCCCACCATCACAGACATCTACACCTCCAGATGCAGGAAGAGGGCCACCTGCATCATGAAGGACCCCACCCACCCAGCACACACACTTTTTGCCCCACTCCCCTCAGGAAGGAGGTTAAGGAGCATTAAGTGTAGAACCACTAGACTGAGGAACAGCTTCTACCCTGAGGCTGTTAGACTCATGAATCTCTAACTAGAATAATCACTGTGAAAAACCATATCATGTTGCTGCTGATCTGTTTCATGTTGCTGCTGATCTGTTTCAATGTTGATGTGTTCATGCGTGCACATCTGCTCACAGACTCATGTTTGTGCTGATGTTCAATGTTTTATGTTATGAGTGCTTAGTGTATATTTAGTTGATGTTTTTCTTGGTTATATCTTAGATGTTGTTACTGTTTTTCTTATACATTTTATTGTCGGATGTAACTGGGACCTTGTGTACATAATTTCGCTCCACCACATGTACCACATGAGGTGCGAATGACAATAAAGAAACTCTGACTCTGACTCTCTGACTGACTCTGATCTGCATTTGGTAGCAGGCCACAGATCATGCAGAATAATGTAGTATTTTAATTCCACATCAGAGAAAGCCATGCAGTCTCTGTAAGTAGGTCTAGGAAAATATATTTTGGTATCGGACAAATAAGTTTTAACATGTTGGCATATCGAATATCGGCCAAAAATCCAATATCGTGCATCCCTGCTATGTATATATGTCTATTAAATATAGGTTCAAAATAATTACAAGGTATTCTTTACATTCATATTTTAACATAAAAATATAACAATAAAACTTAAATAACATTCCTGTAAAGAATCCTGATGCGTGCTCAATAATCCAGGTAGAAAAAAAAAAAAAATTAAGTCAGGTCCTCTGAACTGAAGAAGTCTTTCGGATGAAAGACGAAACATTTCTACACTTTTCTGTTTGTTTTTTGAACGTCCAGAGGACCTGACTTAACTTTTTAAAGATTCCTCTTAAAGCAATCACGACTATTGGAAACATAGCACCAGTGAACTTGCCAGAAAGGTTTACGTAATGTTTCAACTTATAACCCAGGAAATAGTATTGAGAAGTTTTGTGTCTTTAGAAGGTATTAGGAGCGTTACTGGCCTGGCATGATTACACCATAACTCTAGATTTCCACAGACAAACTCAGTTTTGCTCCATTATTTGGTTTTAACTAGATACATTATTCCAAAAGATTTTAATTTCTGTTTCAAAACATGGCCTAACAGGTCACAATCATAAAACTCACAAGCAAACAAATGAAAAAGCATGACAGTAGGAGAAATGCCAAAATGTCTCCAAAGTATCAATGGAAATGTTTGTAAATTAGAGAGGAAAATAATTTTAAAAATACCTAATTAATGCATTTATTTTTTTTAAGATTATGACATTCTAGCTCATTTATTTCTATATATCTGGTGGCTACACACACACACGTAGTGTAACAGCGATGTGACCAACACCATGCTCCATAGAAGCACTCCATGTCTTTGTATGCAGCACATGTGCCTGATGTAAAATGATGGAGGCCAGTTGCTAGGCAACTGTTGTTGCTAGGGGAAGAGCTGGACGATGCGGTGTGTGTGTGACTTTCAGCCTACTTTCATTTACAGCAGCATTTACACCAATGCAGTCAGTGCCACACAGTTGCAGTTTTTTTTATCAGTTTAAAAAAACTGTTTTTGTAACTAAAAACAAAAATATTTTAAGAAGAAGAGCAGCGTGAGTGTAAAAAAAGTCATGTTTGAATAAGTGTAATGCCACAAATTATGCTACAGGTTGCTCATGGAATGTCACAAATATTTTTTTTTACGGTTTAATGTTTTACAGCTCATCTTTATAGAAAAGAGGAATGTCATTTTTATGTTATTTCAGATTATAATACATTTAATTTGATATTTATGTTAGATTTTTATGTTATAATAGTACATTTAGTTTACACCTGCTGCTGGAATGAATTGGTTTCCCTTTAGAAAAAAAAATTATTAATTAATTTGGTGTCTTGTTCTAATTACTTTTTAATTTTACAATCAAATAATTATAATAAAAGAATGATAATTGGCAACTACACATCATGGAAAAATATGCTTACTAAGCATAAAAACTTAATTATAATCAATTTGTACCTGCTGATACAACTTTGTTGTTTCTTTGTGAGTGTTAAAAAATAACAGTAGAAAAAGACCAACTGATTAGTCATCCAATTAACAAGGACGAGTTTTACTTTTTTCCACACACACTGCTAATTTAAGACAGGCATATGTGTGGGCAGCACAGAGATGCATGTGTCCATGTCAATACACTTCCCACAGCATGTCTGCTTTTCACAGCAGGGGCTCAGTTTTTGGCCCAACATTGGCAAACCCCAAACAATGTTGTCTGAAACTATTTAACAACTCCGTGTTCCACTTTACTCTTGGACAGTTAAACGAGATTACAGTGTGCGGTTTCTAACATCACTTCTCGTGGCCCGTGTAGGGTGGAATACAGTTTATTCCATTTCCAAAACCTAAACTGAGTCTGGAAAAATGTAAAAGATAGATAAAGACCTGCGGACGACCTCGTGATCTGCTGAATACAACGTGATAAACAGGAAGTACCACATGGTCATCTGAATGAAGGTAACTGCAGGTAAATCCTCCATTTTCTGTCATAATTACATTGTATGCTTAAATGCTCAAAGCTAGTTGTGCTTTGTTTTATATGTAGATATATGTTGAAACTTCTGGTTGCATAAGTTCAGTCTTTGTTTATTATGATCAGTTAAAACAAAACTGATTTTGTACAAAGTGTTTATTAGGTTGTGTGATGTAAAGCAGAGCGCTACGTCTGTAGCATCTTAGCTAGCACGTCTGTATTGCACGCCGCTAGCTTAGCGCTACTTCTTGTTGGGCCGTGCTCTCTAAAATAGTTATTGAATCAAGTGTTTACTTATGGGGTTAGATGATTAACAACCCGTTAAAATACAGCAGAACGCAGGAAATGGCATCTACTTTATTCAATTTTTTCTGCGGGAGGACCCCCAGACCCCCCACCAGTATGTCCCCCCCACATTATGAATGTTTCTGATGCCATTGGCCACCACATTGTTCAAGCTAAAGAGCCACTGTCAGCACTGGGGGCCCCTAAAGGTCAGATTCTAGAATCGCCCCTGCATGAGGCTCTGACATTATTTTAAAAAGGTTGATTTTTGGTTGACGAGGTGAAAATGTGATGGTGGCGTTTTGAAGATTTGTTCACCCAGGAGCCTGCATTTAAAAAAGTATCAGTTCATAAAACACTGTTTCTGTGTGGCCACATGGCTAAAACAATAAAAAAGCTTTGAGCATTCACAAACATAAATAGATAAAACATTCCTATGCGAATGGCACCAAGCTCGTTCCACATCGTGCTCTGAAGCCGAGCTGGAGGAACTTCTTTTTGCAGATCCAAACATTTTCCTTGCAAATATTGAGGAAAACAAAATCTGTTTGACCTTACTCCTGACCCTTTCTTTTACAGCATATTGGTGCAGTTACTTTCCATCTAATATGGAACGTATTCCTTAAGGTACCTCTTTGAAAAGAAATGAGAATAAATCATCCAGAGGTGCACACCCATAGCTTCAAAATCCACTGAAGTGAAGTTATAGTTTGGTATATTACCTTGGAAGCAGAAGTTTTTTTCCGTTTAGATCCCGTCTTGTCTCCCTTCTGCTTCTCCTTGTCTTCTTCCTCCTTGACAGAGTCGCCTTCCTCACCCTCGCTGCTGCCGTCAGCAGTGTCTCTCCCCGCCTCTGTTTCTGATGAACTTTGCTGCTGGATCGCCTGTGTGCCACAAAACAACCACCACGGGCTTTAAAAACAAGAAGACAGCAGCACAGTCTTCTTCACCCATTGTCTCCATTCAACATGCTTTTAATTCATCTCGACTTTGACCACACTCCTGCTTTACAGAGTATCATGGCCGCCCGGCATCTCTGTGACCCCTCATGTCTTATTCTCTGTCTTTTCTCTAAATCACATAAAAAGCCGACAACCAACTGACCCGATAGCCTGTGAACTTGACTCCCGGGTTGTTCTCGATCTCCCAAAGGCCTTCGTTGAATCCTTTCCTCTTGTTAGACTTCCCAAATTTGTCTTTATACTCCTTGTAGAGCAGGAGATCCTTCGGGCCCAAGAATGCACTAAAGGAGAGGAAGAAAGACTTGATTCCAACACGAATGACACATTTTGTTGTTTCACTTGGTATTTAGAAGGTATTGTTTTCAAACGTGAACATGTGACATTTTTTTTATTTTACCATTTTTTGGATTAACAGCGAAAAATCTTTGAGACTTGTTCAAAACCTTTATCTTAACGCCCACAGCTGAAAGACGGGCAGTCATTTGTTCTTTGTGCTTGTTTGCAGCATTGGCAAACTATCTCATGAACTACTGGATGTAATTAATGAGACTCTCAGGAAGTTATTACTGGATGTACTAAATAACCTTTAGAATTCAATATGGCTGCTGTAGCTAATCAAAATGTGCACAAAAATGGCTAGAGCTCAACCAGTTTTACAGATACTGAGCTAAAATCTGTCGTATTTTCTGCCATACACGTTGCACCGCCCTATAAGTCGCATCAGTCCAAATTTGTCTAATAAAGTGGAAAAATCCATAAATATGTTGCTTCGACGTATATGTCACATCTATTATGCATCACCGCTAAGGGTGTAACGGTGCACGTGGGTGTACCGAACCGTTTCAGTACAGCATGTTCGGTCCACGTGCGTACCGTTTCGGTTATTTTTTTCACTCATTAAATTTTATTAACGAGAGATTATGCGCCGCGGAACTAAAGTTCCTACGCGTGTTTCAGCACGGCGCTATTACCCTGCAGCACGCGTAGCATTAGCTTCTCGTTGCGGTCTCCTGTTTGGGAACATTATGACTTTCTTGTTAAAAGACAAGTGAACAAATCCAAAGCTGTGTCGACGTTGTTTCACGGAGCTTGGATCTGCAGCAGCAACACGTCGAACTTGTTAACTCACTTGAAACAACATCAACCGAACGTGAACGTAGTTTGGTGCAAACACTGATAACAGCAGCATTTAAACAAACTATCAGGTAATTCAGATCGGTCCAGAGCAATAACAAGATGTAGGAGTTTTTAATCTCTGGATCTACGTTTCTGTTGTTGATGCACCGGCTTTAAGCATAAAGTTATTGAGCCCCTCTATGACATCACGTCAACACTTCAGCCAAAAAGTTGTAGCAGCACTTTATGAAAAAGCTAAAACTGATATTGTCAACAAGCCGACCCCAGATTTAAAGCCCTGCCGCATTGATGATGAGCGAGAGAGAATATCCAACCACCTCATATGATGACTATGCAAGAAGAGGTAACAGAATTGTATTATTGTGATCTAATTAACTTTTTTTAATTTAAAATTATCATCTTATTAACTTTTTTTTTTTAATCTCTGAGTTGTTTGCAGTCTGAGGATGATAGCAGCTGAGTCTTCTTCCTTCACCAGATCACCTCCAGCTAAGAAATCTGTAATGACTGAACATGTTTACTTGGCATATTTTCAAAATAAACATTTTGTAAGTCTTTATTTTGACCTTTTCTGTACCGAAAATTAACCGAACTGAGCCCTCCTTGAAACTGAACCAAACCGAAATGTGATTTTAGCGTACCCCTAGTCACCGCTGACAACCCGGAAACCTGGACCGGTGTTGTGCCAAAAATCGATTGGCTTCCAAATGGCAGCCGCCGGGGCGTGCACGGAAGGACTTTAAGAATTTAACAAGATTAACACTTAAAAACAATTATTTGTTTGCTCAAAATGATAGTAAAGGTGTGTCTCAATCTAATGCTTGCTTAATAAATGCACTTTGACGGTCACATCAGCTGTATTTTCAAAAGCTGATACGCGGAAACATGAACGTGCAGAGGGTGACTCACTGTCCATTTCTTTGAACTTTAACAAGATAACCACCTAAAAACAATTATTTGTTTGCTCGACTTTATAGTGAAGGTGTGTCTCTGTTGAACTTAATAAATTCACTTCAATGGTCAAATCAGCTTCATTTTGCCGGGGCAGTGCAGCGAAATGAAGCTGATTTGACGCTCCAGGGAGACGACAGTGGCAGATATGGCAAGCTGACTGTGTCATTAATAGCCACTTTTACTTTTTATATGACATAACGGCATGCCATACAGCTCGCCTGCCATCTAGCGGCTGAAAATGGTGGTGTTCAATATTTTCAGTCAGAATGAATGAAAGCGGTCAAATCTCAGCCAAAAATTGGATTATAAATATGGAAAAAATCCATAAATACGTCGCTTTGGTGTATAAGCCGCAAGTTCTGCAAAAAACCTGTGATTTATAGGGCAAAAAATACAGTAGTAGCTGAAAATCATTCCCAACACACACTGAGAACTAAATGACCTCACAAGATCGTTGCTTTTTCAGCCTAATTTATTACCTTTGGAAGTCAGCCCAAATCAAGATGGCTGCCACAGCTAATCGACTAGCCAACAGAAAAATGTCTAGAACACATATTCCAAGTGATAACAGATTACTGTGAGGATCTATCTGTTGTGTATCTTGTGATCCCTTTGTTTTTCTGCTCTCCCTCATGTTGTCCACTCCTCCTGCACCCGTCCTCTCCCAAGTGTTTGCAATTATTTTCTTGTTAGCATCCCTTTCTATTCCCTTGTTGTCTGGGCATTATTTCCCATCAAACTCCATGTTCCTGCCTCTGTGTCCTCCAGCGTTTATGTAAGTTTGCTGCCCCGTCAGCTTCGTTTTGTTTTCGGTAATAAATTAATTCTTACTTTATTCTCCGAGTCTCCTTGGTTTACCTGCACTTCTGGTTCTACCACCTCCAGATTGTAACAATTACACAAGATTACACATAATGTCATTCTCAAGGTTTGACCAAAACAAATATAATTTAATCATTTCTCAACATAAGGTGATCGTAGTTAAAAGCGCTTGGCATGAAAAGTGATGGGTGATATGCATTCCTTCAAAGATAACTAGGTCTTTTAATTTGAAGATGGTTCCCCACTGGCTGCAATCTCAGTACTACTGACAATATTTAACATCTGCCATGATGAGTAAGCTGTAAACAGGAGAGCTCTTTACATGCAGGATCAGCTGAGTGAACTTTACAAAGCCCAATCAGTGCCGGAAATAAGACTCTGAACTTCAGAGTATTAGTATTATCTCTCAGATCGGAGACAATGTGTTCATCATAATGGCACTTCTTCCAGCTATATTTAACTGTCAACAATGGTGTACCACAAGGCTCATTCTTAGGACCCACTCTCTTTACAATCCACATAAGTAATGTAGGTCAGAACATCCTGATGCATGCTCAATAATCCAGGTAGGAAAATTAAAAAAAGTTAAATCAGGTCCTATGGACGGGTTCAAAAAACAGAACATTCCTGACGTATCCTTGTTTCTATGCTGACGACGATACAGTTGTTTATTTTCTAGCTCAGGGGTCTGCAACATTTACGATCAAAACAGCCTTTTTTTAACCTTCGTTCACTACTTTAAACACGTCCGGAGCCACAACAAACCTGCTACAACTGTGGTTATCAAGTGGTGGCCCATAGGCCACGTTAGGTTTGCTGGAGGTGGCTTTTGTGGCCAGTAGGGGCGACGTTATAAAGCAAAAAAAGATCTAATGGTTCTTAACATTTATTAAAGTAAAATGCCAAATTCTTGTAAAGAGGGGGGAGGGGGAACTTTTTTTTTTTTTACAATTTTTATTTAATTAAAGAAATCTATAAACTATGCAGACAGTGTTCATATAAAGAAATGAAGCATCAAGTTAAAGCATGTTTTACTCCTCGTACTCGCTCCAGTGTTCCCATATTTGCTAAAGACATGACAAGAAAACAGTTTGAACTGGTCCTTTTTATGTTGTTTGTAAAAACCAGTAAAATTCAGTTTTATGTCAGTTTTGGTCTAAGCTTGAAAGAGCCACTGCAGAGGGACCAAAGAGCCACATGTGGCTCCAGAACCGCAGGTTGCAGACACCTGGTCTAGCTAAATCAGTTACTAAGGTTTTCCAGCTTTTATGGTCTGCATTCAACATCATCCAGTGAGATGTTCCATCCCAAACTGGTGCTAAATGCTGACAAAACCAAAGGGATGTTGTTTTCAAAGAGAAAGTTGGTCCCAGCAGTCCTCACTTCTAACTTATCTACGAATGGTGTTCCTATTGAGTTTGTCAATTCTTACAAATACTTGGGAATCTTGGTCGATGCACCTCTCTCTTTTCAGCCTCATGTCAAAAAAACTTGATAAAGAAATTAAAATTAAAATAGGGTTTCTTTTTCAGAAACAGATCTTGATTAAGTCTGAATGTTAGAAAACACCTTGTTAATGCTTCTTAGCATGCAGTGACATTTTTTTTCCCCAAACTCCTAAATAATAATTTTACCTCATAAATATAAAAACATGTTATTTCACAAAGCAGCAATACAGTGTCCCAGTCTTTTTACACAAGGAAACATGTAAGAGAATGTTCTTTCATGCAACCTTTATTTAGACAGGTAAATCCCATTGAGCCTCGAGGACTCAGTTACAAGAGACCTGAATCAACTGCTTCACAAAACCTGAACACTAAGAGCTTTTTTTTTTTTTTTTATTAAATAAATCAAATAAAGAGAAAACATACGTTTCATGAGTGCCAAAGAAGAAGATGGGGTACTTGTTGGCAGGTGGTTTGACAGCTCCCTCTGGAAGCTCATCAATCTGAAGGACAGGAGACAATATTACAGAATGTGTTACTCATCTTAAACGATGCAAAACTATTCAGAGTTGTGGAGCAAGGGGTAAATGACAGATGCATATCACATTGGGTTTTATGTAAATAAGACAAAATGTTGTTCTCACAATCATCTTGGTGCAAAAGCTCAAAAACTGTAAAGCTGCATTCAAGTCCCTCAGTTTGACCTGCACTCTGCTTTTAAACAAAATGTTTCATTTAATATTAACACTGGTGTTAAAGGTTTATTTAATCTAAAAAAAAGGAAGCAAATACAATAAAACCTAACTATGTGCGTTCAAACTCAAGCACGAGCTGCAGGAGGACGGCAGGCAGCTCCCGCCATTATTTGACGCCAGTATTGATAAAAGCGTCGCAGCACCTGCCCGCTGCGCACACCCACAGCTAGGCGGCTGTCGGGACGAGCTGTCCCCGCCAGCCGTCCGTCGCCCTCCCGCAGCCAAGCAGCGGCCGCACGGTGTCAACCCGACCGCCTCGCTGCGCTCTCAGCCCGGACACAGAGCGGACTCACCCGCGCCGGCCAGTGCGGGTATCCCTTCATCTTGGCGAACACCAGCTCCCCCGCCTTGTACTCCCGCGGCCGTGGTCGAGCCATGTCGCTGGATAAACACTGCGAGATGTGGGATGGTGTTTTGGAGATCCACTGCAGATTTACCCCGCGGGGCTCAAATATCGACCACCAGCGCTTTTTTATCAACGCGGCAATTTACACGAAAAAAAAAGTATTAATAAAAAAATAAAAAAAGAAGCGCGGAAAACAAGGCCTTACATTGGGCTACCTCTTACGCACTAAATCTGGTGTAAGTGTAATTGAGAATAGGCCTGACTTTGCGGAGCGACACTTTAAAAAACGCAATCTTTGTAAACGCTGCCATTTTCGGTTTTCAAAATAAAAGCGGTATTTACAATGTGTTAAATATTTATCTTCAATTTGGGTCGAAAGATTTTAAGCCCTTCACAGCATGGAAAATACTTTTATTTATTTTTTTAATGGTTTTTTTATTAGCTACAGACTCGGGAGACTCATCTTTTGCTCAGACCTGACAGCTGCTCTTAACCATAGATCTCTGAGGTATCAAAGGTTCTGCTTTGGACTGGTTCAGGTCTTATTTGTCTGACAGGAGGTTCTCAGAGTTTCTTAGAGTCGGATAATCTGCTCCACCCAGCACACACACACACACCGCCTTACAATAGCTGTTTTTGTTGTTGTTGTTGTTGTTTTTTCTACTACATACAGTAACACCCCCCTACAATATGTTATGGAAGCAGTGTGTAACCTTGTGACTGCTACATGGTCTCTTGTAAATGAGTCCCCGTGGCTCACTGGAATTAACCTGTATAAATAAAGGTTGAATGAATATATGGAATTCCCCAAAGTGCTATTCTTGGTCCCATTTTATTTTCTTTTTGCATGCCGTCCACTGCAGTTGACACTCCGACCTACCTAGAGTTAATGCATACAGTATTTTTTTAAACCACTACCGTCTCACCGAAATAAAAGCTTAGATTGCTTGAAACATCCCATATTTCAACGAGAATAAAACAAAACTTACTATTTTTGGTTCCAGAGGAAACTGCAGGTTTTACTTTTTTTAAAAGAGGCTTTTATCTAAAGGGAAATTGATTTTATTCTTTAATGACTTCATGCTTTCATGACCTCCCAGCAGGATCACTGTTTGTTGGTGTTGGGCAGGCCGGCTTCTCACGACTGTGTTTAGTTCAGAACGCTGCAGCTCCTCTTTAACAGGAATTTAAAAAAACTGTGACTATATTTCCCTGGTGCTCAATTCCCTTTTTGGAATTGATGATAAAGTTTTCTTATTGACCTATAAGGCCCTGAATGCAGGCTCCTATAGACCTGTCTGACCTCCTACAGCCTTCTGTGCCCTCCAGGTCTTGTCTCATGGACTAGGCTGGTCTACAGAGGCGATTAAGTCTCTAGATGTTGCTATAAAAGTGTGGAACCAGCTGCACCGTCATATCAGATAGACCTAAACTCTCACAGTTTTTAAGCCTCATCTTGAAGCGCGTTTGTACTTACTAGTTTTTATTACAGCATGGGAAGTATGATGTTTTCACTCCATCTTATTGATTTTATTTTGTCTTGTCATGTTTGAAATTATGTTTTACAATGACAGTTGTTTTTAAATGTGTCATATAAATAGATTTGATGCTGTGTTTGATATTAATCATCTCAGACTCTTGTTTCGCTTCATGTACTATTGTTGATGTATGATTTCCACGCCCAGAGCTCGACTGGTGACAGAAGGGAGGGCTTTTATGGTCAGGGCTCCGAATTTGTGGAATGCTCTTCCTCTAAATATTAGACAGGCCTCTTCATTGTCTTCTTTTAAATCATTAGTTAAAACTTATAATAAGGGTTTTAATATCTGTATTTCTTTGTATTTTTATTTTCATTTTTTCCTTATATTGTTATGTATTTTAAATGATTTGGTATACCTTTGAGTTTATGGTGTCATTTGTGATGTTTTAATTGATTAATGTGAAGCACTGTGTAACATTTGTTTAAAAAGTGCTATACAAATAAAGTATTATTATTATTATTATTATTATGTCACTGTTAAAAACTGCCACTTAATTAATGTATTTCACAACAATGTGTAGCAATAATAAAAAATGTTTTTTTGCAAGAAAACTACAGTATGTGTAATCTTTTAATGATAAACGCCATAAAACTATTTTTATCCAAGCATTTTTTTAAATTTTTTATTAAAGGAACTCGACTTATTTATTTAGCTGAAGCACAGACTGGTTGCAAAAAGTTCAGGGCAGTGATGAGAGTGTGATACTGACACAAACACAAAAACATCTTGTTGTGCTGACTCAGCATTGCACTCAAAATAACACAAATTACTGTTTTATTTTTACAAATACAGCATCACAGGCTCAGTGGTATATTGTTTTTATATCCTTCACAAGTCCCATAGATGTAGACTTATGACTCTGCTTTTTGCATGTCAAACAGAAAAACTAAACGTTTGTTAAATCTGAAAATGAACACACTGCTGATGTATTGTCAAAGTATATGCATTTATTTGGGGTTTAACATATTTTTCCATTTAGGTTTGAGATTTTCGTCTTTTTGGGGTCTGCACTTGATTATCCTTCTTCTGCTTCTGAATTGTTGTTTAATTGTAGATCCTATTTGGACTTTCCACCCAAATCTGTGTGGAGCTTGCTGTTGATGTTGGGGCCTTGTCCCTGTCCTCCATTTTACTCCCTCTTAACAACCAGGAGCACTGCAACATGTCACAGACCCGCTGCACGCTGCAGAATGCCTCTGATGAGTTCCTTTGCTTCACATGAGACATACGAGAAGATGTTTGGGAAGGTAATGCTGTGTTCCATTTAAATTTTCACCATCTTTTTTATGTTGGCGGCCTTGATCCATACAACATACTGTACAGTGCAGCGTGCCCCTCGTCCAACAACGATGATACTTTACTGATGGTTGTATGAGATTTAATTATTTCATCCTTTTTCCAATGACCTTAGTACATACAGTATCACCACTGTAAAAGCTGGAACACATACAGAACATGAGCAACTGGTTATTTTATGTTATTACCAGTGGTATAGTCTATACAATATGCTGGTGTATGGAGTATACCCACTAGAAAAGCTTGGGAATTTTAGTACCCACTTAAAAAAGTGCAATGTACAAAGTACATTGGGTACAGTGCCCAAAGTATAAATTTGTTGTGCATTTATTCAAATAAGCATCAGAGAAATATGCTTAAAAATCAAAATAAATTGACGATTAGGCCTGCATTGTACTAACTGGTGTACAGTACTTTGGTTTCTAAGCACAGTGCTGTATACCCACTACAAAAATGTAGACTACACCACTGGCATTCACATGCTGTGTTAATGTGCAAAATATACATTAACTGACATGTGCTCATAAATATTGTATTAAATACTTAACATATCTGTTGCCTCTTCAGAGGGGCTGCTACTACAAAATGTTTACCATGACTGAAAAGTGAAAATTACTGCTGTACTTTGGAAAACACGCTACATAACTGCCCTAACCAGGAAATGCAGATACAAAATAAAAGCGCACAGATCAAACCGAAAGTCAACATCACTGCAGAAACATCTAAATAAAACATATTCAAATCTGTTACAATTAAATGTACTTATGGTTATTTACATACAGTATAATGCCCAGACTCCACACATCAGATACTTTTGGGTTGTACGGCTGATGTTTCAGTATTTCAGGCGCTGCGTAATGTGAAGTGCCACAGAATGTTGCACTAAGTACCATCTTGTAAGCGAGGGTCTTGCTGAGACCAAAGTCACACACTTTGATGATAAAGTGCATGTCCAGGAGCAGGTTTTCACATTGGAGATCTTTGTGGGCTACGTTCATTCTATGAAGATACTGGACTGCCATGCAAACCTGTTGGAGACGTTTGCAGCTGAAATATTCATTCAAGGTCTTGCTGGCAGCAATAAGCTTTGAGGCGTCTCCTTTCAGACAGAGCTCCATCACTGCATAGACCTGCAGATTCAGAGGGCCACAACAAATAATCAAAGAAAGTAAAATGTCCGTTGTGACTGAACTAATCCACCAGTTGTGACATGGCTTGCAAAGAAAGCAATCCACTCATTTCACACGTATCTTCAGAATAAATCTACTCATGTCTTTTGTCTCCAGACTTCCTCTTCTTCATCAGTTTTAACAGACGGGAATTATTAAGAAACCCAGACATGGAATTCCTGAATATTAACATTGATTTTTTTTTTTTTGGCTTTAATTTTGCCTCTTCATTAATATATTCATATCAGGTCTTTATCCATTGTCAGTCATATCAAGCACATTCAAATTGTGTTTACTTCCAGTTGTGTATTGTATCATCAAGTATGCGTGTCTTGATTTGGGCCCATCAGTGGGTGGTGAGGTGGTGGGAGGCGGTTTGCTATCACAAGGATTTCCAGCAGCAAAGAGAGCTGAACAGAGCTGTTCCTGAGCAAGGAGGGGATGCTCGTCGCTTCCTTTAGATTTAGGGCGATTAGTTGTGTCTTTCAGCCCTAGAAGTTTTATTCAAGCGTACTGCCAAAATGTTTTATGATCACATTTATTTAAGCAATGACACACATCTATCTATCCATTATCTTTACCTGCTTTTTTCTTTTTGGATCACTGGTGTCCAAATCCATCAGTCACACAGGTTGCACGTCCATCGCAGGGACACAACCATTCACACCTGGAGAAAATTGATCAACAAGCCTAACATGCATGCTTTTAATCTGTGGGAGGAAACTACAGTACCTGAAGAAAATCCACACATGCACCGAGAGAACATGCAAACTGCATCCAGAAATGGGATTTGACCCGACAACTTCTCACTGAAAGGCAACAGCTCTACCAACTGAGCCACAGTGCCACCAACTTATAGCTGGTTTATTTTCTTTTTTTTTTAAGTTTCTGCATAGAATACAATGCAGCACTTTTGTGCTTCATTGTTTATTATAACACCTGGTGAATGTAAGTCAGAAATGTTTTTTTTATTTATTTTTATATCAAACTATTTTGTGAAAAGGAAAAGTTGTTATAATCTAAAGGGAACAGATATTTTTGTGAAACCAAAGTATAGGACTAGTTTAAGGGGTAGGTCTACTTCAGTACAGGGAATAGGTTTTTGGAATAGTTTGGATGATGATGTAAAAAAATCAAAGTCAATGTTTATATTTAAGAAAAAGATTAAGAACATATTGTTGAATAGATACATATAGA